CACACACACACACACACACACACACCCACACAAAAGCAGTGCCCCTGTTCTTCCCACCAGCAGCAACAGAAGACTGATAATCAGATGTCGAGCAGGACGATCATTAGTGTTTCTAAAGGATCTGTATCTGATCAGGTGTCAGAGACATCTGCATGCTCCTCTGTGCTGCAGTGACACAGGCTCATGAGAGGGCAGATTACTAATATAACTGATGACATGAAGAAGCATAATGAGTTACTGTCTCTGAATATTCATGTCAACACAACAGTACGTTTTAAAAATCTCACTTTGTTAATAAAACAAAATCGAGGCTAACTGTTGCAGCTTGGTGCATAAACTCTACTTATCGTCTCAAACTGTCACAAACTGCATTGCACAAATTATGTATCAACTATTTATTGAATGGTAAATCTGCAGTGCAGTGGTAGAATAAAAGGAGGGCACCTAAAAATACTGGAGGAAAAGTTTTGACTTTGATCGAACCACTAGGATGAAATTCAGTGGATACATTACATTTGAAATCATATACAGTCATTCATAAATGCCAAAATGTATAGATCCCTCTAAGTGAAATGAAAACCACTGTTTTAAAGTTGTTGTAAAGTTGCAGCCTTCGCATCAATTATCTTACAGTTTGGTTTTGAACACAATATCCTGCCTGAAGCACAAATGAAGTCTGTCATCGTCATCCAGCTAAAGGAAATCCAAACAAATGGAAAATGTATACTTTAAAGATTCCTCTTCATTAGTGTCACTTTAGGATTTCAGTTTGCTCGGAAAATACAGAGTTGTCATTTTTTTGGGAGTTAAACTGGACGAAATACAGAATTGAATCACAGTGATTAAATTAGGTTTTCTAGTCATTGGTCGTTCAACCCTAAATGTGGAATGATCTTTGGCCTGATACTTTATTCGAGACGTGAGTAGACTTTTCTGGGTGTTGTGTGTGTGAGTACCACAGATTGTATATTATGTTCTACAAAGAATGGGAAATGCAAAGTCCTAATAAGGATAACTGCAAACCTGTGTGTGTTCTCTCTCACACATCCTCTATTCTCTCTATCTCAATACAGTCGCTCTCTCTCTCCCTCCTTTTACCCCCTGTCTCTCTACTCTCTCTGTCTCTCTCACAAACACACATACACTCTATCTTCTCTTTCCATCTAGCCTCTCTCTCTCTCTCTCTCTCTCTCACACACACGCACACACACACACACACACATTTCTTGTCTCCCATCTCTCTCTTTTTACTCTCCCTCTATCCCCATCTCTCTCTCCCTCTGTCTCTCTCTCGCCCTATAGCCCCCCCTCCCTCTCTATCACCCCCCCCCTCTCTATGTCCCTCTCCACTTCAAAGCTTCAGACACTTGACAGTGAGCTGAGACAACAGTTGTTGTCCTTGGTTCCACGCGCTGAGCTCCTCTGTCCCCATCATCATGCCTCGAGGATTTCTGGTGAAGAGGACCCGGCGGTGCTCGGCCTCGTACCGGCCCCGAAACAACAACAAATCTGGGCCGTATGACGGTGACAGGAGCAGCAGCGACCACACAGAGGCGACTAGAGTACCGGTGAAGGGGAACTACGTGTTGACTATCTCCCCGTTTGACCGGACAGATGGACTGCTGCCGGTGTCCCGCGAGGACCCCGCCGGTGTCAGAGAGGCTTGGAGCCCGCACGTGGAGTCCGCGCTGGAGGCTGAGGCGGACCGGCGCGCGCAGTTACCGGAGACCGAGGAGCAGGTGAGCGAGGTGGACGTTTTAACTCCGGACGGTCCCGACTTCTCCTGCTTCTTCCCGCCTCCGCCGCCTCTACGCGACCTGTCGTCACCGGAGTCCTGCAGCCCCGTGAAACCGGTCGGCACGAGGATGCTGGAGCGGCGCGAGGACGCAGATCAGCAGCAGGTGCTCCCCGGCAGGTGCCTGTCATTGTCATCCTCCTCCACGGGGTCGGAGTTACCGGAGCTGCCGTTCCTGGTGAGCTCCACGCCGGCTTCTATAGAGCGGCTCCTCGCGGGAGGCAGCGGCCGCCACCACTCGCCGTCCTACGGTAACACTGACCCGAGCATGACCCATGTGCACTTGTTCCCGCCGCTGACGTTAATGAGCCCGGAGCGGCAGCACGCGGAGAGGAAACGCTCGTTCCTCGAACCGGATCAGCGCGTGAGACACAGCAAACAGTCCTCCGGTAACCAATCAAAGAAACCCAAAGCAAACCGGAAGCTCAACTTCGAGGATGAGGTCACGACCTCTCCGGTGCTGGGTCTGCGGATCAAGAAGGAGAGTCCGGAGATGAGGAGGCAGCGAGAGAAGTCGTGCGCGTCCACCGGGAACCAGCCGCTCCGGGACTTCATCTGCCAGCTGTGTAAGGAGGAGTACCCGGACCCGTTCTCCCTCGCGCAGCACAAGTGCTCCCGCATCGTGCGCGTGGAGTACCGGTGTCCCGAGTGCGACAAGGTCTTCAGCTGTCCCGCCAACCTGGCCTCTCACCGCCGGTGGCACAAACCGCGTCCGGTAAACAACCAGGGAGCAGAGACCCCCACCAACAACAAGAGCCAGCCGTTAAAGGAGGCGCGCGGGCTCCTCCAGCACGAGCGGCCGCCGGTAGAGATGGAGGGTAAAGAGAACGAGCTGCTGCGCGTCCACGCCAATCAGCACCACCGGGCACCGGACAGCTCCCGAATCAGGCGAGAACAGTCCCTGCTCCTGCTGCGCGCTCGCTCCCGGGACAGCCCCGACACCGACAGCCTCCCGCCGCCTCCTCACTACGACTCCTCCCCGCCCCGGTACCGGCTCCCGGGGGAGAGCCGCCTGGAGCTGCAGCAGCAGGTGAGAGCGGCGGACAGTCCACCGTCCAGCCTGTTGCTGCTGAACGGAAACCCGGAGGAGCAGCAGCAGCAGCAGCCGCCGTCGTCTCTCTCACATCCGCACTTACCGTTCGTGCAGTCGTTACCGGAGGAGGAGGTGTACGAGTGCCGGTACTGCGGGAAGAAGTTCCGGCGGCAGGCTTACCTCAAGAAACACCTGGCCGCGCACGAGGCGACAGCGCGAGCGGCGTCCCCGCCCCCGTCGGCGTACGGTCAGGCTCGAGACGGCAGCCAGGTGTTCCTGTGTCACCTGTGCGGCGCGCGCTTCCCGTCGGTAGAAATCCGGGACAAGCATCATCTGTGGCACGCGATGAGGGACGAGTTACTGGCGGGAGGAGGAGGAGTGTTCCACGCGCACCGGGAGGAGAACGGCACCGGGGAGTGTGATCAGCAGCAGCAGCAGCAGCAGCAGCAGATCTTCACGTGCAAACACTGTCCCTCCACGTTCTTCAGCTCCCCGGGACTCACGAGACACATCAACAAGTCTCACCCCACCGAGAACCGGCAGGTGATGCTGCTGCAGATGACCGTGAGACCGTAGAGACGAGACAATAACGACAAACTGCGGTTGGTAGGAAAATAAAACTCTGGTTGTGTTGTGAATTCTCCCTGAGGCCTGTTTGCTTCAGTTGTGTTTAGAAGACAACAAGTGTATCAGTTGTGTAACCGGATGAGGATCGTGATCACCGATGATTGAGCAACATGACGTGTGAGCTGTTTCACTCCGGTCTGTGATGACGTCACACACTGTCCACGGTCGGGACGCCACATAATTAAATGTAACTGTCCGAGGTGCTGAAACTAAACCACAACATCTGTCCGTGGTGCTGAAAGATTTTATTGCTATTATCGTATATGAAATTATCTTGTTTTTTTATTTCATTAATTAGAAACCTGAGCATAATCCTTAATCAATAAATACACTCAAGCAGGATTGTTATAATGGAATTTTAAAGTGTGGGGACAAGAAAGTATCTTTAAATCTTTTAGGAAAAAACTATTTAAATCTTTAAGTTGTTGTAATAAGGGTTAAAACAGAATCACACAATCATGACAGACATTTTCTTAATTTCTAATCTGATCTGATCTGTTGATTACAATTACAACCAAGCGAAGGGGACAGACTGTAGTTTAACTTAAAGGACATTTTCAATATGACAATTAATTATGAAGAATGTTATACATATATATTGTTCACTCCACTAACGAGATGTTTAAACTCATATTCAGCAGATTTCTGTGGCAAAGTAATCAGATTACACCGATGTTCAGCAGCAGTGCAGTGGGTTACATTACTGACCCGTATGATGTGTCACACAGAGCCAGACCATGATACCTGCAATCACATTTAAAAAGTGACCTTCCTTCACCTGCAATCAATGCCCTGACTCTAGTTTAAGGACAATTTCATGTACAGTAAAAGAACAGTAACATAAAGAGAAAATGGTCGATCATCTGACCATAACGCCTTTTATAGTAAATGTGTCAGTTTTCTTCTCAGCTATAAAATATTTTCATACAGAAATGGAACATGTGATGTTAGTACTGCTCGTAAAGTGTCCTCTGTGTTTAATGATGATAAGTTACTGTTCAGATATTTGCTAAATGCCTTCAAGATGATAAAATGTAATTGTAATGCTGAAGAGCCTATACAGGACTATTTTGATATGTGGGAAGTTAAATGTGAAATCTATTCTAAGCTATTGTCAATAAATGGTAACACATTATCAATGTCCGACTGTTTGAAGTTGAGCACACACACAATAGATATATAAATAAATAAGTCTCCGTGCAGCAGTCGGGTGGTGCAAATCTTTTATTGATAAATTTCATCACTGCACGTCCACGCTGTCCGTGTGTCTGGACACAGACATCACCCGTTTACATACTACAGGTTTGACAGTAACACATGGAGGAGTATGTATGTGCAAGCGTGCATGTGTACTGTGGTACAGCTGTAACATGGTCAACACAGGCAGTTAGTACTGAACTGGTGTCATGCAGTATGTATAAGTCAGTAGTTACATACAACAGCTTCGTCCCAAACTGACGTGCGGACAACAGCTGAACCCGTATCAATCACAGCCTTCATGTTTTTATCTACATCAGGCACACATGTTCCACACTGTGAAAATAGATGAAAATAAATGTTATGGCAAATCAAACAGGGAGAAGACATTTGTATCCTCTTCAATGAAGACATCAGATTTGGGCCAGAGAAAATATGTCTACCGTAACAACCTGAGTCACAGTGTCTCAGGAACGCTGATATGAGTTTTTGATTATGCTGACAGGCTTTGGGTAACTTAGATTTTCTTTTTCGTTTGGTTGCAGCTAATCAGGTTTATTTTTGAAACAAAAAAAACATGCACATCTGTTTAATATTGCAGATATTTTCAGATTCATGCCAATCATGAGATCTTCAGGAGTATTTACAATGTGAAAAACTAATTTGAAGTCTGATATTTCCCTGTCTTTCTCAGGGGACGTTTAAGCAGCATCAGGACTCTCGCCATCACGCGGAGTCGGTATTTTACAATAAAGGAGTGTAAGTAACCACGGCGTTGTGCTGCTATGTGGTTTAGGTGGAGGGGACACAGCCTGGGATATGATCACGTGAACAGGTTCAGGTTGTTAACAGGATGTAACCGAACAAACTGGGACACGTACGTTATACAACATGTACAGATCAGACCCAGCGTGCCACTGTTCGATCACTCAACGAACACAACGATGCTTCAACCTCAGCAATGACAACTGTAACGTACAATAACTTAAAAGGGACGACTTTTAAACTATTTAGCTCAGCTGACTTCCAATATCCACACACAAAGTAACACAACATAAATTTGACCTTGGATTTTTTTGTTTTTAAAGTTAACAGTTTCAACCCCTATAGAGGGGGTCACAAAAACTTTTTACAATCCCTTTCTTCTCTACAG